CAGAGCCACAGCAGCTGCCTCCCCCCACTTCATACTCAAATCCCAGATGGGGAGCTTCCTCCCCCACCCCATGCTGAATGGGGAGGGACAGGGAGGAACCCTGTCTTGGATTTGAGTAAATATGTTATTTAAAACATTGTCATCTTCTATTCTTTGTTTTACTATCCAGGAGCTTTTTAAGTGAAGAAAAACTGTTGGGTTGTATATTTTCTGCATTTTTGCATAACATTTCTAAACAGCTTTCATAGAAAACAACCTCTCTAAATAGAAATGCAGAAAAAAATCAGTAAAATTGGCCTGTGAAACTACCAAGGGGCTAGTGGGCAGAAAAAATGGATGGAAAAAATGTTGGTAACGAGGCAGAAACTCCAGGGCCTTAGAAGAAATGATTTAATAGATTTCATAGACATTACAGCTGGAAGGGACCTTGGAAGGTTGAGTCCAGCCCCCTGCCCCAGGGGCAGGAAGTCAACAGGGGTCATAGGGTCCCAGCAAGATAAACATACAAATGTCTCTTGAAGGTGTTCAAAGTGGGTGCTTGAACCACCTCTGGCAACAGTCTATTCCAGACCTTGGGGGCTTGGACTATAAAGAAGTTCTTCCTTATGTCTAGTCTGCAACAGTCGTGGAGGAGTTTATGACCATTCTACCTTGTCGTCCCCTGGGGTGCTCTGGTGAACAGATGTTCCCCCAGATCCTGGTGAGCACCCCTAATAAACTTATAGGTAGCCACCAGATCACCCCTGAGCCTTTTAATTTCCAGGCTGAAGAGTCCCATAGCTCTCAGCCTCTCATCATAAGGTCTGTTTTCCTGACCTCTGATCATGTGTGTGGCTCTCCTCTGGACTCTCTCAAGCTTCTCCACATCCTTTTTAAATTGTGGAGCCCAAAACTGGATGCAGTACTCCAGCTGCGGCCTCACCAAGGCCAAGTACAGCAGGACAGTGACGTCCTGGGATTTGCTTGAGAAGCATCTATGGATGCAAGCCAGCATTTTGCTCGCTTTACTAGCCGCAGCATCACATTGAAGGCTCATGTTCATCTTGTGGTCAGTCATGACCCCCAAGTCCCTTTCATCTGTAGTGCTAGCCAGCATAGCACTGCTAAGCCTATAAGCATGCTGCGGGTTTTTCTTCCCAAGGTGGAGAATTTTGCATTTTTCAGTGTTAAACACCATCAGGTTCTCATTTGCCCATTTGCTGAGCCTGTTAAGGTCACCCTGGATTGTCCTCCTGTCCTCAGGTGTGGATGCTTTACCTCAAAGTTTGGTATCATCTGTGAACTTGGCCAGTCCACTTCTGACTCCAATCTCCACATCATTAATGAAGATGTTGAACAATATGGTGCGTTCACACATGCAAGCATGTGCGCTTGCAGCAGCTCAAATAGAAGCAGTGCGAATTTGAGCCGGGGCTTTTTGCCTCAGTGTACGTACTCGGACATACACTTTGTTGTGGAGCAAATTGTGCTACTAGGGGCAAAATAACTCTGCCTGGCTCCTTCCAGATCTTTAGCCAGGGGGAGCTAGAGCCTGGGGCCAGCGCCTGTGTTGTCCCCAGCAGTATAAAAAGCCACCCTGGCAACTAGCTCAGGGCTGCTAGCTCTCAGGAGCTTCTGAGGCCCAGCCAATTGGTACCTGTGATCACTACTCCTTGTGCCAGCTGGACTGCTGAAGCAGCCCTGAGAGTTCCCTGCACCCTCTACCCACTGCAGCAGTCTGGCAGTGGATGCTGCTGTCTGGCTGTGACCGCTGTGCACCTGCCAGGCTTGGATGGGGATTGCAGAGCCAGTAGAGGCATCTGCCCCTCTGGGCCAGCTGCCAGTGGACTTCGGTTGCAGGGTTAGGCTCTTGAAGATAGGTACCACATTGGCCTTCTTCCAGTCGGCGCTCTGAAGTGCCCAAGGAGTTCTCAAATATCTGTGGCAGGGTCTGAGCTATGATGCTTGCCAGCTCCTTGAGTACTCTGGGCTGTAAGCTGTCAGGGCCGGCTGATTTTGAAGGTGTCTATCCTCTCTAGGTGTTCTTTCACGAGGTCAGTATTGATGGAGGGTAAGGAATCATCCTCACCCAGGTGTTCCTGTCCTGTAATGGGCAGTGACGCCCCTTGGGACTGGTAAAAAAAAAACAAACAACAAACAAACAAAACAAACAAAAAAAAAACACCGATGCAGAGTACCCATTTAGCAAGTTGGCTTTTTCTTGGGCGTTGGTTGTCAGTTGTCCCTTTTGGTTTAGCAGGGGCCCAATGTTGCCCTTGCTTTTCCTCTGGCTCCCCACATATCTAAAAAAGGACTTTTTATTGTCCTTGATACTTGTAGCGAGTTGGAGTTCAGTTGCTATATTGGCTTTCCTGGTTCGTTCCCTGCAGCTCCAGACCAGTGCATATTCCTCCTTGGAGGTGGATCCCGTCCTCCATCCTTTGTAGGTTTTTCTTTTTAGACGCAGGAGGTCTGCTAGTTCCCTGCAAAGCCAAGAGGGCTGCTGTGCCCTTTTGCTGCCTTTCCTCCGAGACGGAATAGACTTAGCTTGTGCATCCAGGATTGCTCCCTTGAGGAGCAACCACTCTTCCTGAACTCCCCTCCCCGTCAGGTTGTGGTCCCGTAGGACCTCACCTACAAGCCTCCTGAGCTTGTTAAAGTCAGCTTTCCTGAAGTCGAGGACTTCTGTATTGCTGACTGACCTGTCAGGTTTATGGTGGATGGTGAAGGTGATCAGCTCATGATCGCTGTCACCCAGCTTCCCTTCGATCACTAGGTCGCTGATTAGGTTGTCCCCTGTAGCCAGTACCAGGTCAAGCAGCGCTATACCTCTCGTCGGCTCGTTGACTTCTTGCATCAAATAGAGCTCATCCACATATGAGAGAGAGCTTTGCGACTGCTCTGATTTGGCCAAGTGCTCTACCCACGACATGTCAGGGTAGTTGAAGTCTCTCATGACAACCATGCACCGGGAACGCGCAGCTTCAGCCAATTCCCTGGCGAACTCCTGGTCAAGCTCTTGATCCTGGGTAGGAGGTCTGTATTAGACTCCCACCATTGTGTCCCTTATGCTGTGTTCCCCACGGATTTTAACTGAGAGAGTCTCCAGCTGTCCACTGGGTGCCAATGTCGGCTTGCAGGGACACATAGCTTTCCTTGACATAGAGAGCTACACCCCCGCCCCTTTTGTCCACTTGGCTATATCCTGTACAGGAGAGATCATCTATACCTGTGGCCCAGTCATGGTTGGAGTCCCACCAGGTCTCCATTATCCCTATGACATCATAATTATTTGTGTTAAGCAGGAGGACAAATTCCTCCTGTTTATTCCCCAAGCTCCTGGCATTTGTGTACAGGCAGGCAAGTGTTCCTCTACGGGCCCTTTCCTTGCCCACCGCTCGTTCCAGGGCTGGGGCAGGGATGGGCTTCTTTAAGTGCCTTTATCTGCTGGCTTTGCAAGGGTTGCTGAGCAGGCCAGTAGTGGAAGTAGTCCCCGCCCCCATCCCCCGGCAGGCTCAGTTTAAAGCCTGGTGGAGCAGGTCAGCCAGTCTGGCCTAGAAGAGCCTCCTCCCCAGCGGAGAGAGGTGGAGGCCGTCCCTTCCCAGCAGCTCGCTGCTTGTCTCACCAAAGAGTGGACTGGTCATGGAAGCCGAAGCCTTCCCAATTAACACCAGCGCATGATATATGTAGTAAATAAACGGACAAAGAAAATAATGTTCTTTATTGTTTGGCTGTGCTTTCCTTGAATGATGTGGATTTATCATCTAAAGGGTAGTAAAAAATACTTCATTTTGAGTAGGAATTAAACACTATCTGGTAGTAGAGTGTCATTAAAACATGCAATGTCAGTGTATCCAACAGATCTGTAATTATTTCCACTCAAAATGCAGGCACTTATTTTCTTCTTTTGGGCTATATTGTATGCAGAATATAATCGGAGAGGAAGTGTGATAATCTCAAACATCTTGAATGTAATCTCTTTGCTTCATTAGTAAGCAAGCATTGCTTTTTATCGTTATGATCTGATAAGTTCCTATGAAATGTAAATTTTGACTGAACAGAAGAGCACACTTTTGCCCCTAGCACTTTTTAAATTTTTATCTATAAGACAGGTTTTTGATGGAACCACAAAGAATAGAGGTGTATCTAAACTTTAAATCATCTTGTAAATGAAACTAGCTGATTGGTTAACTGACTTTGATATGAAAACAAATTCCAGTTATGCATACTTTGAGGCTTTCTTGTTTTTAGTCGAAAAAAGTTAATGTCTGGCGGTGCTCTAATTGTCCTTAAGTTCACATGTAAATATTTTGTAAGCACTTTTTAACACTTCATTTTCATATTAATGGGTTGCCTTCAACACCTTTCTCTTTTTATTATTTTTCATTTTGATGCTTGTATAACAGGGATTTTAATGAGTCCTATTTTTCAAGCTACCTCCATAGTATAATGCAAGCAGCAGGTGGTATAGCTTGTAGTGCCTGTAAATCTTGATTTAGTTTAACATCACATGCTGGTTAAAAGGAGCCTACATGACTTACATTTATCAGATCATTTTTTCGTTGTTTACTGTCTTAACATGTTGAAGTAGGTGGATCTGGATTTCATGTTGCCCCACAATGATTGTTTTTAAATTTTTAAGGCTACTTTATTCTGTAGATGGCCCAGAATTAGAGAATTAAGTTTTATTTTTTTAAATTAATATGTTTTTGAATGAAATGCTGTAAAAAAAATATTTCAGGGGTGTTGGTTATAGCAGTGTTGGTCTGAGGACATAAGCAGACAAGATTCTTTGGGTAAATCTGATATCTTTTATTAGACTAACTAAAGTAGTTCAAAAGCTTTTGGGTACAAACACCCTTCTTCAGGCAGAGGGAGCATAAAAAAATTTCTATAACTTCTTTTTGTGTGAACTGAAGATTCTTCATCAATTTAGCAATAATATGAGTAGAAAATATGAGTAGTAAATAATATGTATATTAAATCAAAGCCAAATTTAAATCTTATTTAAAATTTTATAGGCAAAGTCAAGCATCAGATGCTTCATAAAACCTACAGAGACACTTGAAAGATCTCTTGAAATTAACAAGCAGAAGGGTAAGAAGAAGTTGCAAAAGAGACCCAACTATAAAAATGTTGGTGAAGAAGAGGAAGAGGAGAGAGGACCTGAGGATACCCAAGATGACCCAGATAAGACTAAGGGTACAGAAGGTAGTTCAAAAGGGATGAAGACAAGTGGGGAAAATGAAGGTGAGTGCACAGATGCCTAAACCCAATACATGCTTTATGTACCCTAGTTACTAGTATATTATTGCTGTTTTCACTTGAGCTTGATTGTGGGTCTAGTATGCTTTTGTTCACTTGTAATACTGGGACCACATATACCTCATATTACTGTTTAGGCAGATGTCTGAATAAATAGAAAAGTTTTTTCAGTGTTCTTTTTAACTGAGTGACAAATGCAGTGGCTTACATTGCATTCTTTCCTTGTAGCATCCAGCGTTAACCAAAAGTATGGCTTTATAGCCATCTTTATATTAACAAATCCTCATTGTTTTATTGTTGGTGGTAACCTCCACCAAAAAAAACCCCTTAAACTTGTTGTTTGATAGTGATTAACCTTTCTACCAAACCTTGCCATTTTGCATATGTGAAGTTTATTTTGAAAATTAATGTCCAAAATGCTTCTAAACTTACTCAGTTGATTTATTTTCATTACAACAGTTCAAGAAACTGTTGAAATTTTTATATAAAGTTGATTTTTTTACCAGCTCTGATGGATGGATCTGGAGGACATGCTATAATTGCTTTAATCTTTTAAGGTAGTTATGAAGTCGTACATTTTCAGGCCTAAAAGAGGTTGGAGTTGCTATACTTATGTCACTTTTTAACTTGCTGTAATTTGATTGCTTGACCATACCCTAAGAGTAAAGTTCCCTTGAAGCATAACGAGAGGGATGACAGCAGTATATAAAGAAGGGTATATCCCAGGGCAGGGCATTATTTTGGGTGGAGGGCCACTTACTGATTTTTGGAAAGCTGTTGAGTGCTGCATGGGTAGCCCCGCCCTTTGACAGGTGCCCCGCCCCCTAGTTGCCATCTTGGGACCAGAAGTCCCGCCCCTAACCTCTGACCTTTACCACCAGAAGTCTCTCCTTGCCCCTGTAAGTACTCCTTTGGGGAAGAGGGTTTGCCATCTTAGAATGGGAAAAACAAACAATATACTAAAAGTCAAATGCGCATAATGTATTTTAATTTAATTAAAAATATATTTTTGTCCTTTATTTGTGTGCATTTGTGTTGTATATGTAGAAGTGATTGCATAATAGCTCAAAATGCAGTCTTACTCTTGTAATAGTGTATGGGGTGTGCAGGGGTATGGGTGGGTGGGTATGGGAGTATGTGGGGGGCGTACAGTATTTGTGGGGTGTATGACTATGGGGGAGGGTGTGGTGCGGGAAGGGTTTGAGGGTATGTGGGGTGTGCATGGGAGCCCCCTCCGCCCGTGCCCCCCTGAGCCAGTCAGCACCCGCCCTGCAACAGCCCATAGTTCAAGCGCTCTGCAGCGCCTCCCCACCACTACCAACAGCACATAACCCCAGCGTGTCCTGCACCCGCTCTGCACTGCCTGGCCACATGCAGCAGCAGTGGCAGGGGCCACAGTGTGCAGCTGTGACCCTGCACACCCCGCACCGACTTCGGGCTCACCTGTCAGGGCTGAGCAGCAGCTGGGCAGAAACTGTTGCTCGATGTGGGGGAAAGTGGCCCCTCCCTTTCGCTATGCAGCTTTCGCTGTGGCCGCCCAGAGACCGCTCTGTGCTAGGCTGCGATTTGGCTTCTTCACCACCACCTGTGAGCTGCCCTGCAACTGCTTCACGCTGTCACCGGTGCTGCACTGGGCAGCCCAGAGACTACGCTAAAGGAGCTGCATCGCAGTCTAGCACAGCACAGGTTCCAGGTAGCCGCAGCAAAAACTGCCCAGCAGAGGGACTGCTTTTCCCCTGTGCCAAGCAGCAGTTTCTGCTCCTGTTCAGCCCTGATGGGCAAGCCCAGAGCCAGCGTGGGGCCCTGGCTCAGCAGCAGCATTACGGGACAAACTGCTGCTCAGGTCCAGGAAAAAGCAGCGCCCCCCTCCCACTGTTGGTACTTCCTGGTGCAGCCACTCAGAACCCATGTGGGACTGTCCTGTGTCTGCTCTGCACTGCCACTGCTGCCCCATGGGGCAGCCCAGAGGTGGTGGTGATGCATTGGAGACTCAGGACAGCTCTGCGTGGGCTCCAAGCAGCTACACCAGAAAGTGCCTGCGAGAGGGAGGGGCTGCTTCTCACCGCCCCCCCCCAGCAGCAGTTTGTCCTGCGCTGCCACTGCTCAGCCCACATGAGTGAGCACAGGGCACACAGGGTCGGGGCTTTGCACACTGGTCCCCGCCTGTACCACAGGGCTGGGTTGGAGATAGGGGGGAAAGCAGGAGCACGGGGCCCACACTGACGGGGCCCAGAGCAGGGTGATCGGAGCACAGGGTCCCAGCCAGCAGGGCTCTGTGGAGCCTGGCCAGATTCCCCTCTCCCTTCTGGCACAGCCTGGGCCGGCTCCATAGTCCCCTGCCAGCCCTCACCCTGCGCTCCTGCCACCTTGCTTTGGGCCCTGCCGGTGCTGGCCCTGTGCTCCCACAAACCTGCTTGCTTCCACTCCCCATGCTAGGCAAGGGCTTCTGGCTTGGGGGGTGGGGCTAGGCGGGCCTTGCTTTTATAGGGTCCTGCTATGGCTTCTACTGCATCCTACTGTTGTTGGCTCCTGTCATCTTTGACAGGCAGCCAGGGGCAGATAAATATTAATTATCTAAATTTTTTAGGGGCCTGGGAGGCCAAATCTGGCCCATGGGCCGTATTCTGCCCACCCCTGGTATATCCCAAAACAAAATATAGCTATGCTTACTTTTAACAACCCTCTTGTACCATGCTTCCATTTTGATGCGTTTGACAAGAGCTTCCAAGATCTTTTATTTCCATCTTGCTTAAACAATACTATATAACACACAATCAGTATACTGATATTTGAGCAAAATAGGTATACACTTAAGGTCCCAAGCAGACTAAGTATATTTGTAATTCTTACTCCCTCTTTGGAGTAACTTAACTTGGCAAGACATGTATTAAAATGGTATCTGTTTTTTTGGTTATTTAAAAGACTACTTTTTTTTTATATTAAACCAAATTAGCCCAGGGAGCAAGAAGCCTTGTTCATACCACGTAGTCAGTGACTCCTTGTGCTTTGGTGAACAAACTAAAGTTACAAGAATTAATTGGTGACAGATACTGCACCTGAGTTCATTTGCATCAACCAAATTGGGAAATATGTGAAAGAAAGCTATTGTATTTTATATTGGCTGGCTCTCAGTGATGGAAAATGGTCTATTCTTTGTGACTGTGCATGACCTTTTCATGTATACTTCCCAGGAATAACATTTCCTCCATTGGCTTACGTTGAATACAGCTAATGTAAATTGTGCAGAATCATTTTGACTTGCACACTGATTGGTTTAACATTTGGAATCTCCTGTAACTATTGTTTAACCTGTCTTTATCAAGTTTTCCACAGCTGCCGCTGTTGTTTTAAAACAAGCAAGAACAAAAGAGGCATATGCCGCAGAGTTTGTCCTCCCTAAAATGTGGCTCAGATCAAAATAGATTAAAAAAATTCACTTCCTTTTTTTTTTCTTCCCCTCCCCCGCCCTCCCCTGGGCTAACTATTATGCGCTCATAACTTTCAAACTATTAATATTCCAGGGAAATGTTTGTATTTGATTATGAAACAAAGTTCCAGGCTTTGATGATAGATTAATATTAATAAATTTGTGTTAGAAAATGTAGAGTTGACCAAAATGCATCGTAGTTCTTTTCTGAAGAAAAAGAAGGAACATGAATAGTCTGGGTAGATGTTATCTTTGGGCTGAAAACAGAGTATCAGATTTCTGTGTGTCCTAGGGCCAAGAGTGTTTAGCTTTGGCAGAATCGTTTCTTACAACCAGGGAATGGGTAGCAGGTCAAGCTGTGGCTTTGATTGCTGAGATCTTGTTAGTATCTAGGAACATGGCAAAGGTTTGATTTAAACAAAGATTTAACTTGACAGCATCAAAAAGAAAAAGAGAACCTGATTTTGTTTGTTTTACTAGGAGCGCTTGCTGAATTGTATTTCATGAAGGGTGGTTGCCAACTTCTCCAAGCCATGAGCTAGAACAGCCCAGCTGGTGTGTGAGGTGGGCAGGTGCTCTGACGTCACTCCTCCCACTGCCCAGTGCTGGTGTGGGTAAAGCCTCTTGCTGCTGGAACGTCATTGAAGCCCCCTCTCTCTGTGGGCTGCATTCAGCCTCAGGGCTTGTATTACTGATCCCTGTCTTATGGCACTCTTGGGATGCTGCAGGGTTTTCGTGGTACAAAGCATATAAAATATTTTAATACTATAAGAGCCTTAGTCTATCTGTCTGTCTGTAACACTTTATTTGCACTCTGATTGCTTGTCTGAAACATCAGGCCCAGGCCTGCTCCTCCCCCCACCCCCCTTGGAGGTGGCAGGTGGAGTGGGCCCAGACCGCAGGCGGCAGCAGTGGGGAGGAAGGCAGCAGCCCTGGGTGCCGAGCCCAATATGGCAGGGTGGGGAACGGGCCCCAACTGGGGGGGGGCCAGACGAATGGCTCTGCTACCATCCGTGCCCCTCCCCCCCTCCCCAGTCATTTTTGATGGGCAATTTGTTAGTTAGTTATTTTCAGGCAACTATATATCCATTCCAGAATATGCAGTGCTTGAAAATTGTTAGAACTCATTTTCCAATTTCAAAGACTTCTGTTAATCAAAATTCTGCTATGTTGTAATGTATCAGCTGTGGCCAGAAAACAATAATTACTCTAGATCTCAAGATGGCTAGAATAGATGCATGGCATATGGCATACTGTACAGTGGATCAGTAGCAACCTGATTACATTGCACCCAGTGATGCAGCTTTACAGTATTTGCATGGGTAGGGGGGATGGGACTGTGTAGATTGACCAGTTCACACAAGGCTTCTCTAACTTTTGCATACCTGTAAAGTCAGTACCACTTGACCCAGCTGCCAGAAGATCAGTTCTGTGCAGATATGTAGACATGCTAACTGGAGAAGCAGTGGAAATTGCCAGCTTCTTTAGTTTGCTGATTAAAGGTTTCATTTTGTGTGACACAGTGTTTTGGTTTTGCATGTTTAATCTTTTTGGTAAATTTTGAAACAAAACCTTCCTTTTTAAGAGATGAAATGCTTAATTTTAGTATTAAGCTGAAAGAATTTTGTGACTCAACTAGCCTCAGGTGATCCAAATCAGCATTTTTGACACACAATCAAAAACTTGGTCTAAGTTCACTAGCTGGTCCTTAGAGCATAAGTTTTCAGGTACATAAAAAGTTTGCTTTCCATGGTATTGAATTCTTTTAGCATTAGAACGTGTAAGAAGAAGACTGAGTCAGAGGTGAAAGTAGGTTGAAGACCCAGAGAAGTCATTCATTTGGCAATCTGAGTAACCCTGAAGATTGTCTGGGTCTCTAGGTAGTATAGGATTGTTGCCGTCTGTAAGAAAAAAGTGTGTGGTGTTTTTGTTTTTTTTAATGACAAACACAAATAACTACTTTAAGGTATGAAGTAGTGTTTTGCATAGTTTCCAAGGCAATTCTACTCTTTATGCACAGATGGATTTAAGGATAGCGGTTTGGGGGGAAAAAACATCTTATTTTAACTCACACTTACTGTTTTGTTAAAGGGCTCTCTCTTTTTTTTTATTTCCTCAGCACTGTGGAGGAAATGATTACTTACGTTAGCAACTTATGTTGTGGACTTTGAAATTTAATTAGTGCAAATGTTAATGTTACAGAGAGGGCCAAAGTATTTAATGCCTGCTTTCATTCAGTTTTCATGAATAGAATCAGCTACCAAATGCTGAGTGCAGTTGGCAGCAAGGATGCAGGAGACAAATAGCCTAGAGTAGTGGAAGAACAGGTTAGAGATTATATAGACAAATCCCATTTGGCCCTGCCAACTTGAAAGCATCTAGTTGTCTATATAATCTCTAACCTGTTCTTCCACTACTCTAGGCTATCTGATGCTTTCAAGTTGGCAGGGCCAAATAGGATATACCCTCATGTATGGAAAGAATTGGCTGATGTAATTTCAAAGCCATTGGCTAACAAGGGTCTAGCTGGGGTCTGATGGTATTAACATCTTTATTAATGATTTAGACAATGGAGTTAAATGTATGCTTAGCAAATTGATGGATGATTTCAAGCAGGGTGGAGTTGCAGACACTCTGGAGGGGGAGGACTAGGATCTAGAATGACTTGAATAGACTAGAGAAATGGTCTGCAGTCAATCAGATTAGATTCATCAAGGACAAGTTTAAAGTCCTTCATTTGGGATAGAAAAATCGCATGCCCAAATACAGACTGGGGAATGACTGGTTATGTTGCAGTACTGTAGAGAATTACCTAGGGCTTACAGCAGACCAGTGGTGCTCAACCTATTTCCTTGATGGGCCAGTTGAGCAGTGTCCAGGTTGTCCACAGGCTGGATGTGCCAGTGGCCCTGATCCAGTGCCCAGGGCAGGTGTGACAAGGCTCCATCTGGCTACATACAGGGGAACTGGTGGCAGCCTGGCCCAGTTCAGCCCCATGTGGAGGAAGGGGGTATGGCCTGGCCCCAATTCAACTGGGCAGGGGGAAAGGAAGCATGGCCTGGTCCCAACCTGGCAGTGTGGAAAGAAGAGGGCATGACCTGGCTGTGTTGGCAAAGGGGGCGTGGAAATTTGGCAGCAGGCTGGGAGGGTGGCCACTGCTCCACCTCTGACAAATTTCTCAACCCATGGGGAGCCTTTCAGGCCACAGATTGAGCACCCCTGCAATAAAACGTAAGATGAGTATGAGCCAACAGTTGGCTCCTATTGTGTACGTATACACACACACACCCCCCAATAGCATACTGGGTTGTATTAACTAGAGTTTTTTGCAGGTCCAGGGAGGTGATTTTTATGCTCTGTTTGACACTGGTGATACTGGACCTGGTGTACTTTGTCCAGTTTTGGTCCCTACACCGAGCCATACATGCAGACAGATTGGAAAGAGTCTAGCAGAGAGTAACAGAATTTACTAGAGAACTGGGAAGCATAACTTACGAGGGAAGCCTGAAACAGCTAGGGTTCTTTAATCTGGAGAAGAGAAGACTAAGGGGGGATTTGTTAACAGTCTTTAAATATCTGAAGGGTGATTATAGAGAAAGTGGAAATGAGCTTTCCTCTGTGGCCACGGGCTCAAGCTACAGCAGGGAGAATTTAAATTGGAGGTTAGGAAGAACCTTTTCACTAGCTCAGTGTTCAAGTATTGGAACCTAGCGAGGTTGTGGAAACTCCGTTCCTGGAAATTTTCAAGAGCAGGTGGGACAGACACTTGGATGGAATAGTTGAATCCACGGGGATGATCTTGCTTTGTGCAGAGGGCTGGACTAGATGACCTTGTGAGGTTCCTTCCTGCCCTACTTTCCTGTGATTTTAACATTCATTTTTAAACCTGGTTTCTTTGCATTGTTGTAGCATTCTTGCATTGTATAATTCTTCATATTGTTTCCCTTCCTCCTCATTTCTTCCCAAGTGAGGCATTACATATCAGCGTTTTTCATATGGTTTGGGCATAGAGTGAACGGTTTTAATTTCAGTTACCTCGGTTACTCTTAGAGAACATATTTGGCAAAGCTGAGTTTTAAAATGATAATATCCAAACTTTTAAAAATAATTTTGTAAATGCTTTTATGTACTAGACCAAAGATACTATTTATGAACTTATACGTGGATTTTTCTTTTGATAGCTAAATTATTCTAACATCAGGCAGTTTTTTGATATTTTTGTGGCTGTAGCAGGAAAACTAGAATACCTCTAGCTCCTCACAGATCTGATAGATGAGCAGTGTATTCCTTGCTTCTGATGCATGTTTTTGTCAGTCACAAACTGAAACTCAGTCTTCATCTAAACTTTTCTTTTTCTTTTTCTTTTTTTCACTCTTGTTAAGAAATAGAAATGGTAATCATGGAGAGATGCAAGATGTCTGAATTGTCTATTTCTGCTGTGACAGAGCAGAACACGACAGATGAAGAAAAAAGTGCAGCTGCCTCTGGAAGTGAAATGACCAATTGGAACAGGTATGAAAACTCTAATATTTGGCCAAGTTCCTATTTTGTTTCTCTTTAGTTCTTTTTCCTGTCCAGTTTTGGATTTTTCCAACATGGCTCATCAAAAACATTCTTGGATTATGATTATTTCTACTTTTGTGTGTGAACAAGAAGAAAATGTGTGTTAAGGGGCTGATGTATTCATTTCCCAGACTAACGTGTGTTCCTCCCTTTAGGGTAAAAACAGACTTTGGCAAATGAAGTGGATCAGCTGTGCCAGGGGTATGTTCCTGCTCAGCCAATCTCCTTTATTTGGTGAAATGCACATCACCCTGTATCCCATCTCTTGATCTTGCGGAACAGTGTTTCCCCACTTCCAGAGATGCACCTCTAGCAATCTCTGGGGTTCATTGACCTTGTGTCCCCATAGATTTTCATGGTGGCACAAAGCAATAGAAGTAGACACCCATACCTTTTGTAGTGCCACAATGTGGCTGTAACTCAAGATACTAATAAATAGTGCTGCTGTATTGCAGTGGACGTCTATTGGCTTCGCAGTGGGAGTGCTTACAGTTAAAGTTCAAAGGATGGAAGTCAGCTAAGAGTACAAATTTTATGGGTTTCCAATGGCAAACGCTTATAGAATAGAACTTGGGGAAAGCATCTCACCTGTTCTGTGGAAACTCAGCAGATGAGAGTATGAAATCTTATTTCAAATAATGGCACAAATGCTTGGTCTTTAAGTTTTGTGTTGCAAATTTTTCTCTGTAAAGCTAATACATTCTGGAGTTGACTTTTAGCATAGTAAAACATTTGGGTGAGAAATTAGCGAAAACTGAAGTTTGACTGCACATAAAGAAACTTACCCACAAAACATCCAGCTCCAAGGATATCTCACTGGAGGCCAGAGAGAGCATTTAGGTTCCGCATTAACATTATGGAGATGCAAAAATAAGCAGGTAATGAGCAAGGCATTTCTAGTTTCTCACTTTTGACATGAAATTGATCAAAAATAGCTCTAGGCGCACACTCTAGAACTGTGCCTAGGTGCTGGACTGGAATATTATCCTGTTTTTTAAGTCTTCAAAATAAAGAATCTCTAGATGTTTGATTATTCTAATGCTTTGGCATATATCTGCATTTCAAGACAGTTAAAAGGAAATAGTGATCTAAGGACGAAAAAGGTCACCAGTGCAGAAAAACCTAATGTCCTATAGCAGGAATAGATCCTACCACATTAGCCAGAAATATCCCTAGACTCGGCAAACTAAAATACTACATAAAATCTTTGGATAATACAAACTGTTCAGTTACTAGGTAAATAAACCATTAAAATCTTAGCTGTGTCTTTGATGACAGTTAGTAATTTAATCCAGCCACAGTGTAAAACTTACATAAATACTGCTGTGTCCTCAACGTTTTTTAAAAGTTTTTTTCATATTTTGATTATCCCCCTAATTGATCACTGCCACCATCAAAGATTAGATCTACTAGCAGGTCCAACACAATGGTGGAAAATAAGAATATATAAAGTTATTGTAATGGTGCAGTAGCTATTGGCAAATTTGACTTTTTAATTACTCCCAAAGTACATTCAGCTTTAGAAAACACTAGATCTATCAAATTTTTCATATATAAACTTGTTTTTATGAGATCCATTGATATAATACTAAGACAAATCAGCTTGAATCTAATTGGAACCTGCATAACGTTTTCATACATTTACAAATCCTGTCTGATCTGTGAAACAGACCACATATTGATTGTTGTTCATGGGAACAAATACTGTGTAGCAGAGAAACAGATTTGATAACACAATACCTGCTTCATATTAAGTAGCAAAATGACAAGCATTGAATTATTTTGAGCTTTTATTGTACAGTAGACAAAGATGGATAGATGGGGAAGAGCTATTTTGATCATAAAACTCATGGACAGATGTGCTATTTGAAGGGCTCCAAGTACCTTTGAAATGCAGATGCTTATAGCTAAAGTGCTTCAGAAGTGACCCATGAAAAAAGAGCAACAGCTTTGAAGCGCTTTTTTATTTTTTTAGCACTTGAAATGTGCAGCTTTCAGTGTTTCTTGTGTACTCACTCCCACGGAGGAGGGGAGTGGGGCAGAAAGCCAACAAGCACTCTTATGTGCACGCAGCTATCTTTGGGAGACCATTACTGTATGCCTTCACTGCTGTTTTGAAGTTCTCTGTAATTTGGGGTCCTTCAAATGCATGTCTGTCTATCCTCAAGATTCATTCCCATACACGGGCCAGGTTCTTGGTTCCTCCCAGGCTGTCAGATGCGTAGATGGACAGAGAAGGAAAGCTTTTAAGCCATCTTTTTGCTCCTCTTTTGTCTTGTTTGGCTTCCAGCATAAATTTGAATAGGCTCAATGGCTGTTCTGACCCATGCTTATCTTCTGGTTTAGCAAGTAGTAATTGCTGAAGCCATCAAAACCTGCAAATTTGTCTTCAAGCAAAATCAAAGATCATATGATAGAGGGATTTGGTCAAATGAGCTCTGGCTCTAGTGTATTAATATAACTATGGCCCTGTTATTGTCTAGTAGTTTTGTTAATTATGGAACCTGAGATGTTTGAGTTCTCTTCCAAATTATGATCTTTTATTGACCATCTGTTAGCTTGTTTAATATGGTACTAAAAAGTGCTTTGAGAAACTTGGTGAAAGGTGTTCATGTTTACAATTCAAAGCTTCTATTTTAATATATTTTTTAGATATTTTTAAGACTTTTCTTGATACAACTGGATTTGTTTCTCTTGTAATCTGGAGTAAGAAAGTAGAATGGAAAACTGATTTCAGTAACTTGATTTAGGTATGCACAGCACTTTTCACCATTTCTTGTTGTATTAGTTAATCACAGAAAATGGTGTGTTTGGTGCCTATGGCAGAAGATGCTCCATATATTCCAGGCCAGTCCACTTGCTTTAATGTAGCACCAAATTCCTCTGGCACTTCTGTTGTCACAGGGTAGACACAGGTAATTTTCTCATTTTGAATGGAATATAGCAAATTGCAAAAACCTGTATAACCCTCATCCATTCTCATAAAACCGTAACCATTGTTGTTCTCATGGGGTAAGTTGTTACCCCTAATTCAACATTGTTGGTCTCATGGGGTAACTTGTTACCCTACCCGCATGAACAAAGTGGAACCAGTGACAACAGTATAAATGTACCAAAAACTATTTATTAAACATGCAGATTTTTTAAAAGAGTATTTATAATGATTTGAACCCAAAATATTATTTAACTAAAACTCTAAAACTTTTTTTAGAGTTTCAAAATGTGAATGAACAATTTGCTAAGTCTGCAGTTCACACTGTTTTCAAACTAACAATTACTTCCAAAAACATTTCCTAACTGTTTTAACTAAATATTGCATTCCTCACAAAACAGCAGTGATGTACTGTGGTGCACACAAGCAAATCACTTACGATCTTCGCATTGTTTCTGGGTTTTGTGGTCATCTGTCCTTGGACAAAAAGCACAATGTTCACTCATGCTTGCAGAAGGTTCTACTTGAGTGCGTTGTGGCAATTTGTAATTTGGAACAGTCATACCAGACTTGACAGACACAGACAGATTGCGTGTATCCATCATTCTTCATTTTATTTGTCCATCGATCAGCTGTTCTCCAAGCTCCTGCAAGAAAAAGTGCTGTCTTCTTAAATGTGATCTTTGCTTCCAGTTTGTATTGTGGTCTGGCCAAATGATGAGGCTGGCAATGGCAGCCACATTCAGCATATTGAAAAATATTGTCATTGGCCACCTGTTGATTTTTCCGTCTGCAGGTGGTCATATGGTCAAGGTTATCCACCCCATCCTTGTTTTTTATTGTAGTCATGGATGATGTCTGGCTCTCTCTGCTCTGCACCCACTGACAGGTTATGGTGCGTGCTTGATAGCAACAGAACAACTTTGGACTTCTTTGGAACATAGGAAACTAGGGCGAGTTCCCCATCAAAAGCAAAAATGGATGAAAGAGTTTCCCTTCTTCGATTTGCTTGCATTTCGTTTGGGATATCAGCTTTGTTTTTCTGAATCGTACCCATATAGGTCAAATCCCGCTGTAACAGTCTTTTTGCCAGGTCAGTACTTGTGAAGAAATTGTCACCCGCAATATTCCTTCCCGTCTTGTACCAGGGATGACCAATTTTTCAATGACCTGGGGACCAAGATTACCTTGGCATGTAGTTTCTGGTTGCTTGCCCAGGTAGATGTCTCCAGACAGGGGGAATGATGTTGCTGTATCACAGCACCAGTGAATTTTCAAGCCACATTTGGCAGCCTTGCTGGGCCTGTACTGTCTGAAGGGACACAGTGACCCCTTAACACAGTGAGCTGCTCATCAACCATCAGGTGTATTCCTGGAATATACCATTTCCTGAGCTGCTCCACAAATTGTGTCCAAATATCTCTGAAGGCAGCAAGCTTGTCTACAGCTCTCCTTTCCTCATTTGTCAGTTTGTTGTCAAATCTCAGGTAGCTGTTATTTTGACAGAATCATTTTAAACTCGTGATGGCACGGAAGCAAGGACATCTGGTGCGTTGCTCCCACAACTCCTCCAGTGCCTTGTGACCACCGTGGTATAGACCACTCAGCAGTAGGAGGCCAATGTAGGCTTTCAGCTGTGTTTCATTCAGCTTTTCACACTCCTTTCTATTTTCAGGATGACTATCATTCCACTCCCTGAATCTTCTTTCTGCCTCTCTGTTTATAAGTCAGGATATCTTGTGAGAAACAGGTGGAATGTTTCCACCACTGTCTTTATTACTTCCCCTTGTTGGCCCAGCACTTTCATGGACTATGTCCTTGGCTGTTCTCTGATGATGTATTAGCTGTGGAATTTTTTTCCCACACTCTGCCATTCCTTCCTGTAAAGGTTTCATTATCTGCAGTGTTTTCTGCGGGTAATGACTGTGGCACTGCTCCACATCCTGCTGTAGCTCTCCTCGGTCTGCCACAGTGGCCCCAGGCTGGTCCTCTTCCCTTTCCCACTGGAAGTGTTGGTATCACTTCTGCTTGTGGCACTAACTCCTCCTCATCTGATCTGAATGAAGCTATCATAGGCGCATGGTCTCCTTGCTCTGAACAATCTCCCATATCTGGAATAAAGTCGGCGTTCTTACTGCCTTGGGATAAGATTTCATCAGTGGATGTGTCACTGTCATCCCCGGTTACCTGTGCAAGACAGGCTTCAGCACTGAGTATGTGCTGCCTTCTCATCCTGGACTGCAGAAAAAAAGAAAAAAGTGATTACTGCTGAATGCATATAAGTAACGATCAAAGAAGGCTATCCACCTATGCTGTGATAGAAGCAATTCTGCCCTGCCCTGTCCTCCTGGGCACAGAAGCCAGAGACCAATGTCTACCCTTTGCAGGCAAACCAAATGTGGGTGGATGCTGTTTGTAAACCACACAGGCAGGGACTTATTGAGAGCAGGTAAAATGGGCATGGGGGGTGTCAAGCCCTTACTGTTGAAGGGGCCTCCTTGTCTTTACTTCCAACAAAGGCAGGGCAAAAAAGAGCAGAGGTGGATTTGGGTGTGACAAAGGGTGTTTTTTTGTGGCAAAGAGCAGGGTGTTTTGATGACCTTGCAGCCTGCAAATAAAGCAGTTAGCAAAAGGGATTGCCACATTTTCTGCAAAAGCAGAGTGGAGGATGGTCATCCATTAGTTACCATAGATACCTGAAGTGGACATGAATGAGGTGTGAATGAATGCTGACCTTCAGATGCATTCACCCAAAGTGGCCAAACAGGCCTGTCATTTATACAGAAATTGCATTGGTGTAACAAGTTACCCCAATGCATTATCATGGGCTTTGGGTAAATTGTTATATGGAAAAACACATTCATACCTGGGGTTACATGTTACCCTGGGCAGTTTTTCATCCTGTTTTTTGGGGATATTGTACACTGCAGTGCCAGTGACAGTGTCCTTAAAAAAAAATTAGAATTGATTAACTTTAAGTTACTGCCCAAAATATGCATCTGGGGTAGGAAATTACCCCATGGGAATGTCTGAAGGTTAAGGGTTTAGGGAAGTGTAATTGGTGAATTTGTTTGTCTGAATGGCTTGCAGAGATGTGTTAAAGATGATTACACAAGGGATAATACTTAACGTTTGGCTGTGCTGTGCAGGTAGTTATATTAGTTAGCTAGTGTTAAGTGCTGGAAGAGTGTGGTGAAGCTCGTTTGCTTGGTAACAGCTTCTGTTATGTGTCATATTCCTTTGTGTGTCTTGTGTGGGGATGGGTGCAGTATTGCCTTTATCTGACTTCAGCTGTATAGCTGCTAAAGGATTTCACGATTACATTTGCGGGACTGGATGATCTTCATCCGAGAGTGCTGAAGGAGCTGGCCGAATTCATTGCAGAACCCCTGGCGAAACTCTTCCACAACTCGTGGTACTCTGGAGAAGTCCATGAGGACTGGAAGAGAGCCAATGTGCCCATCCACAAGAAGGGCAGGAGGGAGGACCTGGGTAACTAGAAGCCAATTGGCCTAACTTACATCCTAGGAAAAATCCTAGAAAACTTCATCAAGAAGGTTGCAGAAGGTAAGATTCATAATGACAGCCATGTCATGGGCAGGTGTTACCTTGCCAACCTCATCTTCTTCTATGACCAGGTAACTTGCCACCTGGACACGAGAGCAGGTTGACATTGTGTACCTTGACTTACAAAAGGCCTTTGATTCAGTATCCCACAGTGTCCTCACAAGAAAATTGGAGGATTGTGGATTTCTCACCCACCAAGACAGTCAGGTGGGTGAGGAACTGGCTGCAGGATAGAACCCAGAGAATTGTAGTGAACAGATCTGTGTCATCCTGGCGAGAAGTGGGCAGCGGTGTCCCACAGGGGTTGGTGCTTGGTCCAGTACTTTTCAGCGTCTTTAATGATTTGGATGTGAGGGTGAAGAGCTCACTGGCCAAGTTCGTGAACAACACCAAGTTCTGGGGGAGCGTGGTCACGCTTGAAGATAGGCTACAGATACAGGTGGACCTAGACAGGCTAGCAAGTTGGGCAGATCAGAATCTGATGAAGTTCAGCTGGCAGTGCGATGTTGTAGCCAGTAGAGCAAATAATACTCTGGCATGCATCAATCGAGAAATGTAAAGTGCTCCACCTTGGAATGGCGGCACCAAAGTGACTAGCACTATGAATGAAAGGGACCTGGGGGTAATAGTAGACCACAGTAGGAATATGAGCTGGCAGTGCGATGTTGTAGCCAGTAGAGTAAATAATACTCTGGCATGCATCAATCGATGCATCTCCAGCAAAACCAAGGAAGTGATTCTTCCATTCTACTCAGCACTGGTGAGATGGCAGCTGGAGTACTGCGTCAAGTTCTGGGCACCACACTTTAAGGAGGAGGTGGACAAGCTTGAGAGAGTCCAAAGAAGATACACCCATATGATCAGAGTCTAAAAAGGAAAGCCATATGAAAGTCTGAGGGATCTGGGACTCTTCAGCCTGAGGAAAAGAAGGCTGAGAGGGGACCTGGTAGCAGCTTACCGCTACATTAGGGGAGTACATCAAAGGGCTCGGTGAGCAGCTGTTCACCAGGGCACCCAAGGGGAAAACAAGGAGTAATAGCCACAAATTCCTGGAAGATCAATTCAGGTTCAACATTACAAAAAACTTCTTCATAGTCAGGGTGTCCAAACTGTGGAATAAGCTCCCTCCAGAGGTGGTGCAACTGCTTACCCTGGAAATCTTCAGGAGGAGACTGGATGGTCACCTTGCTGGGGTCACCTGATCCCTAGTTGTCTTCCCTGCTTAGTGCAGGGGGCTGGATCCGATGATCTTCTGAGATCCCTTCCAGCCTTACAATCTATGAATAAAACAAGGCAGAAGTCTGTCTTACTGCTGACCTAGCCCAGTGTTTCCCAACATTTTGCAGCCCAAGGCACACTTACATAAATAATTTTTTTCTGCAGCACACCTGTTAAGGCATTCCCCATTCTCATACCTGTTGCAGCTCATTGCCATGGCAAAATTCTGCGGCACACCTGTTCATTTCTGACGGCACACTTTTCTGCCGCAGCACACTGGTTGGGAAACACTAGCCTTCTCTGAAATGTTGTCTCTAACTCTAAATTTCCACCTTTTTAAACGTGTATTTGAAACTAAATTGAGTTTTGATATTGATATAGATGAAAAACATGACATGAGAAGTTACTACAGGTCAGTTGCATCATACACGTGTTTAACTCGCGCGAATTCAACTAATACGTGGGGTGGGAGGGGGGGGCGGGGCTTGAGCTTGCACATGGTGCTGACGCTTACTTGGAGGCCCATTATGGTGGTGACAGCCACTGCCTTCAAAACCTCCTGCTGTCCTGTCGCCATGGGGCCGTGCCCGGAGCTGTGTGGCTGGCCACTGGGCGGCACGCAGCCATCCCCACCACCACCCCACGCTGCGCTGTTGCCACCGGCCACAGAGCTCTAAGCACAGGGCCGCGTGCAAACTCAAGCCCCGCCCCTCCTCCCACCCTGCGTATAGTTGCCGATTTTCACCTTACGCGATTTTTGCCGTACGCGCTGCCTTTAGCACCTTACTCCCACGTAAGATGCGACTGACCTGTATATGAAATGGGTCCATTTTAACAGTGATACTAGGATAAGGCTGCTAAGCAGGCCTTAAAAATAGGGTTGGATAGTTATTTCAGCTGGCGGACCACTTAATGTGTTTTGGTGAGTTGTAGAGGGCCATGCACAAAATCTGTCAGAAGATATAATTTTAACAAATCATAGATAAAAAACCAAATCCTGTACTAAAAATCAAACATGTATTGTAACAGGCGTCAGCAACCCCTGGCATGTATTCTAGAGTGTGCCACAAAGGTATTTTGCTTGTCATAAGTGCCTTGGGGTGGACAATGGGGAAGAGACTGGGGCTGCACTGACACAAGAAGGATTGGGCCCCTTGCAGCTCCCCTTCTGTCTGCCTGGAGGTGCTATCTGCTGCTGGCAACGAGCCTGTAGTACTTGGGCATGGTGGGAGGGAAGAAGCCCCTGGGGCAGGTAAGACTGACCACCCTCCTTTCCCTTTCCTGTTCTATTTGTAGGTAATGATACAGGCTATATTACAGTAACTCAGTTCTTCCAGCATTATAACCATCATTCTAAAATTGCTGTCTTTTACAGGCCTTTTCTTGACATGGTATATAATGCACTGGACTGTACTGAAGATGACTACTATGCCCTCTTTGTACTTTGTCTCCTCTATGCAATGTCTCACAATAAAGGTAAGAGATTTATTTTGTATACTCATATCTTTCCTCCAGAAAAGAAAATGAAATGATACTTGACTCAGTGGCTTTAGTTTGGTAAGATTGTGGTAGGATTTTTTTCTAGATACTTTAAGCCACAAGAAATAAACCCCTCCTATTTTTCAAAGAATGCTGTGTGTAGATTGTGCCATTTTTCTTTAGTAAGTTTCCTAGAACTGCAACTGAATGCTTCATTTTTACTTAGATTAAGTCAATTGAATTTAGTGCTCTAAATGGTACTAAACCAATTCCATTCAGTACAATAAATATGTGAGGATCATCTAAATACAAAGTGGTGAGACTCCAACTTGGTGGTATTTTTACATTTGTTTGGGTTTATATAACTGTATTATGTGCAAGCCAAGGGAGAATCAAGCTGTTCATTTTGGAAGAATACTATGCTCATTGCTATAAACTGTCAAGAGACAAGGATTTTTGTCTATTGCCCACAAAAATCTTTGCTTCTCGCATATTTCCTAGCCCATCACAGCTGTAACATTGCTTCAGCACTACCAAAACAAGCTGTCAAATCATTTTTGTTAATGATACCCAATTTTGTCAGTGTTCAACAGCCACTACGTATGTTGTGCCATAGTTGTTTGAATTGTATGGCGTTTGTGTAGATTATTTCACTGGGATTAAATATCCTGTCCCTTGCATGCACAGAATTTACTTTGGACTTCAGTAGGTCATGTTAGATAAAATGCTGCAAACATTGTTTGTACCACATAAAGCTGAACGTCTATGTATGTAAAGGTTTTGATAGAAATATTGACACATGATAGTTATAATAAACTTGCTCATCTAAATGAGTTTTCATGTTTCCAGTAGAACATTTTACTTGCATCTCTTAAAAAATGCTAAATAAAAAATTCAGCTTAAACAAGTGGACTTTTATTGAATTTCAATTTCCTGCTCCTGAAATATACTTAATTTATTACTGGAAATAAATTTTGAACAGAAGGATTTAAGGTGATAGTGCCTCAACATAAGGGTATTGATGTAGTATGTGGAGGCATTTTTCTTAACACCTTTTTTTAAAGGTTCAGAGAAGAAAAAGAAAAGTGAATCAACAGAGCAGTCCTGGAAAGTGAGGGTGAAGGCTAATATTTAAATATATTTTTATATTAGCTTCCTTTGTCATAGTTAAGTGAGTTGGATTCTAGTCTGCAGTTCCAGTGGCATGCACTTTGTGGGGCTCTGTGTGGGCAGGCTTTACTGTGGATAATTCTTATAACTAGATCCCTAAGAAAGCCATCTATATAGGCTCTTCACTGTCATCTGCAGTCTAGTTCCCCAATAGGGATATAGAAAATATCCATTTAACCTCTTCTGATTTATATCAGTTAAGTGGTTAACTGGTATCTCATGCCTAGTTTAGTGACCTCCAGCAGGA